GCAGACGTGCATGGTTTCATTACGTACAGTATTAAGAAGGTTGAGAGAGCTAAATCTTACTCCTCATACAGCTGCCACTGGCCCTCTTTTGGATGCAGCTCATCGCAGACAGCGCTTGGAATTTGCGCGCAGTCATGTCGAGTGGGGTATGGAAGAGTGGCAATGCGTTCTATTTACAGATGAGTCCCGTTTCACGAGATATGCTTCAGATCGTCGTCAACTTGTGTTTAGGAGACCTGGGGAGCGATATAACCAGTATTGCTTTGCTCCAAGAGTACAATTTGGTGGTGGCGGTATAATGGTATGGGCAGGCGTATGTTTGGAAGCTCGTACGGCCCTTGTTACGTTTCGGGGAGGCAGCATCAACGCTGACAGGTACATTAGGGAGTGTCTTGAAGAGCATGTGGTACCTTTTGCTCCATTTATAGGACCAAATTTCTTGTTAATGCAAGATAATGCTCCACCGCACACTGCCCGGGTAACTCGTCAGTACCTTCAGGATGTTGATATTCAGGTCTTGGGGTGGCCACTAAGGAGTCCGGACCTAAACCCAATAGAGCATATGTGGGACAATCTAGGAAGAAGGATTACACTGAACTATGGCGAGTTTCACACTGTGGTTCAACTAGAACTCTGTTAAATGAATGGGAGCAGATATCCCAGAATGAGGTTGCTGGGTTAATAGAAAGTATGCCACGAAGGATAAGAGCCGTGATTCAAGCTCGAGGAGGAAATACTCACTATTAAAGATTTTTTGAGGCATCTTTTGCAAAAACCTTTTTTTCAAATTTTGAATTTTTTTATTTTTAATGTAAATATACAGAAAATTTTTTGTTTTCCTTTTTTAAAAATCTTTATTAATTAAGATTTAATTAAAATTATTAATTTTGTCATCGAGTGTAAGCATTTTTTATGTTATTTTTCATCACTTGTCGTAGTTCCTGGCCTATAAATACAAGCAAGAGATACATTTATTTTTTCTATTTGGATATCAAGCCATACTGCATCTATTGGTGCTTGGAACTTATAATTTCTTGAAATACTGCTACTAATTTTATATCCATTAATTTCGTTTTTTGCTAGGATACATACACCACCTCCTTTTTGATTTTGGCGGTCTTCGCGGTATGTGCTATATCCATCTATGCGTATTAAGCTATCGCTCATGCTTTCTTTTAACCAGGTTTCTGTAAGCATTATGAAAGTGGGATTTGCTGACAAAATTCTTGCTTTTCATTCGTCAATTTTATTAACCACTGAACTCAGGTTACTATACCAAAATGATACCTCAACTACCCCAGACAAGTTTAGTTTTTTCAGTTTTTTTAATTATTTTAGGTGTTCCATTTATGTATTTAATAATTAGATTGGTTTTACCTTCTGCCTTAAGTTTTTCTAGCTCTGCCAGTAATTTTTTTAAGAATTTCCTTTGGGCTTCTGTTTGGTCACTTTTCATGTAAATCCCGGTTTGATTTTCTTCGAGTACTTTTCTGCATTTGAGTGCACTCAACGCTTCCTCTTTTGTTGGCAGGATTACTTAGAGAGGTCTTTTCCTGTCAGCGCTCTCCTTTCCAAGTCTGTATACTTTAGCCATTTCAGGTAGTCTAAGGTTCATTTTTGAAAATAGCCCTGCGACTTTTCCCTGGTCTTCTTTTGCTTTTTCTTGAATATTATCTTTTCTAGATGCGGTTCAAGAATGATTTTACAGACCTTCAAATGTCATTTTTTCTAATAATATAGTTTAATATTATATAATATAATTTATTATTAGCAATATCCACTCGTCGTCTTTTATTTAATTGTCGCAAGATTTCACCAACGTGAGTTCTCGCGTGGGGACATATGGCCCCAAGCCGTGCACCGGCTTAATGTATCAGCTGTAGAAAAAAAACAGTTGCAGGGAATAAATTTTTGGTGATGTATCAAGCTCTCAAACCTTCATTTGAGGAATAATTCAGGGACAGAATTAAAAAAAAAATCAGCCAAGAAGCTATAGGACTTTAAAGAGCGGCTGGGGCCACATGGCCCCACGCGACTACTTAAAGGTCCTGCGCCATTACCATTGGGCATCTGGAACCGATCAATTGTCGTGGTTAGTAAATTATTCCTTAAAAGGCTTGCATTACTCTGCAAAACTTTACCTAAATGACATTGGTGACGGCCTATCGGGAAAATCGGCGTTAAAAAAGTACTCTATCAGTATTTGCGAATCCACGCATACCATTAATATAAGAGCGTTTAAACCTCTCTAAAAATAAAAATATGTTATACAATTTTGTTATTGTTTTTAAAAATAAATAATTGTATACAATAATTTTATTATTTTTAAAAATACTTACTCTTAGCCAGTCAATAGGTGTTCCTTGTCCCAACCGCCTAGCAGTTATGTTGAATCTCCGGATTTCATGTTCATATTCGTTAATCAAAACGATGTTTTCAATAGTTTGAGAAGCTATTATTAAACTCTTTAAACTCGGAAGTCACTGTTTCAAATTTAAAATTTAAAAGTTTGTGAGGGTTTATATATTCAATTTTAAAGGTAATTAGTACCTACAAATAAAAATATTATGTACCTACTAAAAGATAACAACATTTTTATAAAAAATACCCTATATTTCTTATTACATTTATAAATTTTTTCAGCATTTTTGTTTTAGTCCTATACCAATGCCTAAGCGTACATGAGTCATTCCACGTAAAACCGGACAAAAACAGGTGAAAATGACCTTGAGTTCTCTGATTTTAATATAAATTTTTCTACAGGTTCTTTGGAACAAATGAATAAATAGAACATTTTTTTTTATTTTATCACCCCCAGTTTAGAAGTTACAAGGGGTTGAAATTTCGCAAAAAAGCCCAAAAATCGAAAACACGGCCTCCTTCAACTGCCTATATCTCCGGTTCTATTCATCCTACAGACTTCATCAAAAATGCATTTTGTAGCTCTTGGAAGACACTTTCATGACATATATATATATCATTCCAAGATAATCGACTATTGCATTTGTTATAAACAATTATATTATTCAAACGTGATTTTCAAAACAATTGTCACTTTTTTAAATTTTGAAAAAAATATCATCGTATTCCTTGATCGATTCTCTATAAAAACCCAAAATTATAGCTTGGAGGATTGATAAGAACTGGGTCAAAACAGCGACACGGCCTGTGACGCGGCGCGCGGCGTAACCTTACGCCCTTGGGCAAATTGAGAGTATGGGACGCCTAATGTATATATACATATACACATATGTAAAAATCTAGAAATAACCAATCACCTTCTTTTGAGGTAAGGAACATAGGGTAATAAATATAAACAAAGAGAGAAGGTAAAATAACGAAATAAGGTAAACAAAAAATTTAATGAATGCACCTGTGAAAAAATTTAAATGTAAGGTAAGGTAAATTAACATAAGGTACACAAAAAGTTTAATGACCAATAAAAAAAATAAAAATTTTCTTAGCTTTATTGCTTAGGAAAATTTTAAACTGATATCATCACCTACTTCGACATACGGAGTATATCTTTTAAACTTCGAGTTATAGAGTATAGATATATCTATACTCTATAACATAGAGTTTGTTTTTTTATTCGGAATTTGACAACGTCAAAAATTTGGGAGATTAGTTTGCAATTATTTCTGTTATATTGACAGAAAAACCAAATTATTATTTGTGGTTAAGAATAAAAAAGGTTGGACTGTACTTGTTTATTAAATTTAAAAGTAAAATCAAGTATAAAATTATTAACTATTGAATAGAACTGCTGTAGTTCTAGAAAAGAAGGTTTTGTCGAGGGATTGTAGAAGGTGTGAATAATACGGTGGTTTTGGTGCTAAGACAATTGTTTATTAAAATCACTCCAATAATATAATAATATATAAACATTTACTTAGAAACAAGGGCCTCGACAGAGCTTTCTGCGTTTGAGTATCTCTTGGCTGACACTTTCTTCTTCGTTATTGGCCTAATGCAATGAAATGTTAGTGTGCCACGAATCACTTTTGCTTTTTCAAACCGAGCTTTCAATGTTTCATTCGCATAATCATTGTGCGTAAAAAATTCTATTGCAATGTTTTTTATGTTTGGATTATTTTTTGCCCAGGAATAAAATCTGTGTGGTGTATTGATGGGTTCCGGAAGATTTGGTTCTAGACTGGCTCTAGTTGCTAGCCTCTTCAGGGCCCCTCCTATACCATCACAAGGTCCCTTTCCGTGTGAAGTGGCAAAGAAATTCCATTCGGCACTAACCCCAAAGTCTTCTTCGTGAAGGCAGACATTCAAAAAATTCTTTTTGTTTTTATATTGTGCGCTGGCTCCATCGGAGAAGTAGATGATCTTATTCAACCCTGGTACATATTGTTTCAAAAAATTTACAAAATTTCTTTGAAAAGGGTGAACGACGACGCACATATCAGAGTGCGTTTCGGAAATCGCAATATAATTTTTATGGTTCATTCTGCCACCTTCTTTGTAATAACCAACGAAAGGATGTAAGGTGGCTTGGTCATTGTTCCAATGCACTCCCTGAATTGCATCTTAAATTTCAAATGCGTAATTTTCCGCGAAATCGCACACTACCAAACACTCTCCTGGTTGCAACTGCTCCTTTCTTTCGGAAAAATAAGCTGACTGCTGCTGAGCGATGAACGCATGCGTAACCAATGCTTTTAGTTTTGTTTCCAGTTTTACCAGTAATTCTTCACCTGTCGATTGAATGATTTCCAAGTTTGTTCGATCTACCGATGTCCATTGTTTGTACAGCACGGTATCTATCAATTCGGCTTCGAATACCTCTTCCAGCTGATTTATCAAACCTTCCGTTCCTGGGCAATTTAAACATTGCCTCAAATGACAATCTATCGACGGTGGATTACAGAGCATTCGGGTCAAACAATCTTTATAATTACTGACTGGTTGAGGTGTGTCGGCTGTGAGGTGTGCTATTCTTGCTCCATCCAACAATAACTTGACATTCTCGTGAATTCTCGTAAAGGTAGAGGTATTCGAAGCCGAATTGATAGATACCGTGCTGTACAAACAATGGACATCGGTAGATCGAACAAACTTGGAAATCATTCAATCGACAGGTGAAGAATTACTGGTAAAACTGGAAACAAAACTAAAAGCATTGGTCACGCATGCGTTCATCGCTCAGCAGCAGTCAGCTTATTTTTCCGAAAGAAAGGAGCAGTTGCAACCAGGAGAGTGTTTGGTAGTGTGCGATTTCGCGGAAAATTACGCATTTGAAATTCAAGATGCAATTCAGGGAGTGCATTGGAACAATGACCAAGCCACCTTACATCCTTTCGTTGGTTATTACAAAGAAGGTGGCAGAATGAACCATAAAAATTATATTGCGATTTCCGAAAGTTTAAAACATGATACCGTCGTCGTTCACCTTTTTCAAAGAAATTTTGTAAATTTTTTGAAACAATATGTACCAGGGTTGAATAAGATCATCTACTTCTCCGATGGAGCCAGCGCACAATATAAAAACAAAAAGAATTTTTTGAATGTCTGCCTTCATGAAGAAGACTTTGGGGTTAGTGCCGAATGGAATTTCTTTGCCACTTCACACGGAAAGGGACCTTGTGATGGTATAGGAGGGGCCCTGAAGAGGCTAGCAACTAGAGCCAGTCTAGAACCAAATCTTCCGGAACCCATCAATACACCACACAGATTTTATTCCTGGGCAAAAAATAATCCAAACATAAAAAACATTGCAATAGAATTTTTTACGCACAATGCGAATGAAACATTGAAAGCTCGGTTTGAAAAAGCAAAAGTGATTCGTGGCACACTAACATTTCATTGCATTAGGCCAATAACGAAGAAGAAAGTGTCAGCCAAGAGATACTCAAACGCAGAAAGCTCTGTCGAGGCCCTTGTTTCTAAGTAAATGTTTATATATTATTATATTATTGGAGTGATTTTAATAAACAATTGTCTTAGCACCAAAACCACCGTATTATTCACACCTTCTACAATCCCTCGACAAAACCTTCTTTTCTAGAACTACAGCAGTTCTTTTCAATAGTTAATAATTTTATACTTGATTTTACTTTTAAATTTAATAAACAAGTACAGTCCAACCTTTTTTATTCTTAACCACAAATAATAATTTGGTTTTTCTGTCAATATAACAGAAATAATTGCAAACTAATCTCCCAAATTTTTGACGTTGTCAAATTCCGAATAAAAAAACAAACTCTATGTTATAGAGTATAGATATATCTATACTCTATAACTCGAAGTTTAAAAGATATACTCCGTATGTCGAAGTAGGTAATGATATCAGTTTAAAATTTTCCTAAGCAATAAAGCTAAGAAAATTTTTATTTTTTTTATTGGTCATTAAACTTTTTGTGTACCTTATGTTAATTTACCTTACCTTACATTTAAATTTTTTCACAGGTGCATTCATTAAATTTTTTGTTTACCTTATTTCGTTATTTTACCTTCTCTCTTTGTTTATATTTATGATTTAAATTTATTACCCTATGTTCCTTACCTCAAAAGAAGGTGATTGGTTATTTCTAGATTTTTACATATGTGTATATGTATATATACATTAGGCGTCCCATACTCTCAATTTGCCCAAGGGCGTAAGGTTACTCCGCGCGCCGCGTCACAGGCCGTGTCGCTGTTTTGACGCAGTTCTTATCAATCCTCCAAGCTATAATTTTGGGTTTTTATAGAGAATTGATCAAGGAATACGATGATATTTTTTTCAAAATTTAAAAAAGTGACAATTGTCTCGAAAATCACGTTTGAATAATATAATTGTTTATAACAAATGCAATAGTCGATTATCTTGGAATTATATATATATGTTATGAAAGTGTCTTCCAAGAGCTACAAAATGCATTTTTGATGAAGTCTGTAGGTTTAATAGAACCGGAGATATAGGCAGTTGAAGGAGGCCGTGTTTTCGATTTTTGGGCTTTTTTGCGAAATTTCAACCCCTTGTAACTTCTAAACTAGGGGTAATAAAAAAAAAAAATGTTCTATTTATTCATTTGTTCCAAAGAACCTGTAGAAAAATTTATATTAAAATCAGAGAACTCAAGGTCATTTTTCACCTGTTTTTGTCCGGTTTTACGTGGAATGACTCATGTACGCTTAGGCATTGGTATAGGACTAAAACAAAAATGCTGAAAAAATTTATAAATGTAATAAGAAATATAGGGTATAACTATGTTTATTTTTTATAAAAATGTTGTTATCTTTTAGTAGGTACATAATATTTTTATTTGTAGGTACTAATTACCTTTAAAATTGAATATATAAACCCTCACAAACTTTCTATTATTACTTCAAACTATTGAAAACATCGTTTTGATTAACGAATATGAACATGAAATCCGGAGATTCAACCTAACTGCTAGGCGGTTGGGACAAGGAACACCTATTGACTGGCTAAGAGTAAGTATTTTTAAAAATAATAAAATCATTGTATACAATTATTTATTTTTAAAAACAATAACAAAATTGTATAACATATTTTTATTTTTAGAGAGGTTTAAACGCTCTTATTATTAATGGTATGCGTGGATTCGCAAATACTGATAGAGTACTTTTTTAACGCCGATTTTCCCGATAGGCCGTCACCAATGTCATTTAGGTAAAGTTTTGCAGAGTAATGCAAGCCTTTTAAGGAATAATTTACTAACCACGACAATTGATCGGTTCCAGATGCCCAATGGTAATGGCGCAGGACCTTTAAGTAGTCGCGTGGGGCCATGTGGCCCCAGCCGCTCTTTAAAGTCCTATAGCTTCTTGGCTGATTTTTTTTTTAATTCTGTCCCTGAATTATTCCTCAAATGAAGGTTTGAGAGCTTGATACACCACCAAAAATTTATTCCCTGCAACTGTTTTTTTTTCTACAGCTGATACATTAAGCCGGTGCACGGCTTGATGCCCTATATTTCTTATTACATTTATAAATTTTTTCAGCATTTTTGTTTTAGTCCTATACCAATGCCTAAGCGTACATGAGTCATTCCACGTAAAACCGGACAAAAACAGGTGAAAATGACCTTGAGTTCTCTGATTTTAATATAAATTTTTCTACAGGTTCTTTGGAACAAATGAATAAATAGAACATTTTTTTTTATTTTATCACCCCCAGTTTAGAAGTTACAAGGGGTTGAAATTTCGCAAAAAAGCCCAAAAATCGAAAACACGGCCTCCTTCAACTGCCTATATCTCCGGTTCTATTCATCCTACAGACTTCATCAAAAATGCATTTTGTAGCTCTTGGAAGACACTTTCATGACATATATATATATCATTCCAAGATAATCGACTATTGCATTTGTTATAAACAATTATATTATTCAAACGTGATTTTCAAAACAATTGTCACTTTTTTAAATTTTGAAAAAAATATCATCGTATTCCTTGATCGATTCTCTATAAAAACCCAAAATTATAGCTTGGAGGATTGATAAGAACTGGGTCAAAACAGCGACACGGCCTGTGACGCGGCGCGCGGCGTAACCTTACGCCCTTGGGCAAATTGAGAGTATGGGACGCCTAATGTATATATACATATACACATATGTAAAAATCTAGAAATAACCAATCACCTTCTTTTGAGGTAAGGAACATAGGGTAATAAATATAAACAAAGAGAGAAGGTAAAATAACGAAATAAGGTAAACAAAAAATTTAATGAATGCACCTGTGAAAAAATTTAAATGTAAGGTAAGGTAAATTAACATAAGGTACACAAAAAGTTTAATGACCAATAAAAAAAATAAAAATTTTCTTAGCTTTATTGCTTAGGAAAATTTTAAACTGATATCATCACCTACTTCGACATACGGAGTATATCTTTTAAACTTCGAGTTATAGAGTATAGATATATCTATACTCTATAACATAGAGTTTGTTTTTTTATTCGGAATTTGACAACGTCAAAAATTTGGGAGATTAGTTTGCAATTATTTCTGTTATATTGACAGAAAAACCAAATTATTATTTGTGGTTAAGAATAAAAAAGGTTGGACTGTACTTGTTTATTAAATTTAAAAGTAAAATCAAGTATAAAATTATTAACTATTGAATAGAACTGCTGTAGTTCTAGAAAAGAAGGTTTTGTCGAGGGATTGTAGAAGGTGTGAATAATACGGTGGTTTTGGTGCTAAGACAATTGTTTATTAAAATCACTCCAATAATATAATAATATATAAACATTTACTTAGAAACAAGGGCCTCGACAGAGCTTTCTGCGTTTGAGTATCTCTTGGCTGACACTTTCTTCTTCGTTATTGGCCTAATGCAATGAAATGTTAGTGTGCCACGAATCACTTTTGCTTTTTCAAACCGAGCTTTCAATGTTTCATTCGCATAATCATTGTGCGTAAAAAATTCTATTGCAATGTTTTTTATGTTTGGATTATTTTTTGCCCAGGAATAAAATCTGTGTGGTGTATTGATGGGTTCCGGAAGATTTGGTTCTAGACTGGCTCTAGTTGCTAGCCTCTTCAGGGCCCCTCCTATACCATCACAAGGTCCCTTTCCGTGTGAAGTGGCAAAGAAATTCCATTCGGCACTAACCCCAAAGTCTTCTTCGTGAAGGCAGACATTCAAAAAATTCTTTTTGTTTTTATATTGTGCGCTGGCTCCATCGGAGAAGTAGATGATCTTATTCAACCCTGGTACATATTGTTTCAAAAAATTTACAAAATTTCTTTGAAAAGGGTGAACGACGACGGTATCATGTTTTAAACTTTCGGAAATCGCAATATAATTTTTATGGTTCATTCTGCCACCTTCTTTGTAATAACCAACGAAAGGATGTAAGGTGGCTTGGTCATTGTTCCAATGCACTCCCTGAATTGCATCTTAAATTTCAAATGCGTAATTTTCCGCGAAATCGCACACTACCAAACACTCTCCTGGTTGCAACTGCTCCTTTCTTTCGGAAAAATAAGCTGACTGCTGCTGAGCGATGAACGCATGCGTAACCAATGCTTTTAGTTTTGTTTCCAGTTTTACCAGTAATTCTTCACCTGTCGATTGAATGATTTCCAAGTTTGTTCGATCTACCGATGTCCATTGTTTGTACAGCACGGTATCTATCAATTCGGCTTCGAATACCTCTTCCAGCTGATTTATCAAACCTTCCGTTCCTGGGCAATTTAAACATTGCCTCAAATGACAATCTATCGACGGTGGATTACAGAGCATTCGGGTCAAACAATCTTTATAATTACTGACTGGTTGAGGTGTGTCGGCTGTGAGGTGTGCTATTCTTGCTCCATCCAACAATAACTTGACATTCTCGTGAATTCTCGTAAAGGTAGAGGTATTCGAAGCCGAATTGATAGATACCGTGCTGTACAAACAATGGACATCGGTAGATCGAACAAACTTGGAAATCATTCAATCGACAGGTGAAGAATTACTGGTAAAACTGGAAACAAAACTAAAAGCATTGGTCACGCATGCGTTCATCGCTCAGCAGCAGTCAGCTTATTTTTCCGAAAGAAAGGAGCAGTTGCAACCAGGAGAGTGTTTGGTAGTGTGCGATTTCGCGGAAAATTACGCATTTGAAATTCAAGATGCAATTCAGGGAGTGCATTGGAACAATGACCAAGCCACCTTACATCCTTTCGTTGGTTATTACAAAGAAGGTGGCAGAATGAACCATAAAAATTATATTGCGATTTCCGAAAGTTTAAAACATGATACCGTCGTCGTTCACCTTTTTCAAAGAAATTTTGTAAATTTTTTGAAACAATATGTACCAGGGTTGAATAAGATCATCTACTTCTCCGATGGAGCCAGCGCACAATATAAAAACAAAAAGAATTTTTTGAATGTCTGCCTTCATGAAGAAGACTTTGGGGTTAGTGCCGAATGGAATTTCTTTGCCACTTCACACGGAAAGGGACCTTGTGATGGTATAGGAGGGGCCCTGAAGAGGCTAGCAACTAGAGCCAGTCTAGAACCAAATCTTCCGGAACCCATCAATACACCACACAGATTTTATTCCTGGGCAAAAAATAATCCAAACATAAAAAACATTGCAATAGAATTTTTTACGCACAATGCGAATGAAACATTGAAAGCTCGGTTTGAAAAAGCAAAAGTGATTCGTGGCACACTAACATTTCATTGCATTAGGCCAATAACGAAGAAGAAAGTGTCAGCCAAGAGATACTCAAACGCAGAAAGCTCTGTCGAGGCCCTTGTTTCTAAGTAAATGTTTATATATTATTATATTATTGGAGTGATTTTAATAAACAATTGTCTTAGCACCAAAACCACCGTATTATTCACACCTTCTACAATCCCTCGACAAAACCTTCTTTTCTAGAACTACAGCAGTTCTTTTCAATAGTTAATAATTTTATACTTGATTTTACTTTTAAATTTAATAAACAAGTACAGTCCAACCTTTTTTATTCTTAACCACAAATAATAATTTGGTTTTTCTGTCAATATAACAGAAATAATTGCAAACTAATCTCCCAAATTTTTGACGTTGTCAAATTCCGAATAAAAAAACAAACTCTATGTTATAGAGTATAGATATATCTATACTCTATAACTCGAAGTTTAAAAGATATACTCCGTATGTCGAAGTAGGTAATGATATCAGTTTAAAATTTTCCTAAGCAATAAAGCTAAGAAAATTTTTATTTTTTTTATTGGTCATTAAACTTTTTGTGTACCTTATGTTAATTTACCTTACCTTACATTTAAATTTTTTCACAGGTGCATTCATTAAATTTTTTGTTTACCTTATTTCGTTATTTTACCTTCTCTCTTTGTTTATATTTATGATTTAAATTTATTACCCTATGTTCCTTACCTCAAAAGAAGGTGATTGGTTATTTCTAGATTTTTACATATGTGTATATGTATATATACATTAGGCGTCCCATACTCTCAATTTGCCCAAGGGCGTAAGGTTACTCCGCGCGCCGCGTCACAGGCCGTGTCGCTGTTTTGACGCAGTTCTTATCAATCCTCCAAGCTATAATTTTGGGTTTTTATAGAGAATTGATCAAGGAATACGATGATATTTTTTTCAAAATTTAAAAAAGTGACAATTGTCTCGAAAATCACGTTTGAATAATATAATTGTTTATAACAAATGCAATAGTCGATTATCTTGGAATTATATATATATGTTATGAAAGTGTCTTCCAAGAGCTACAAAATGCATTTTTGATGAAGTCTGTAGGTTTAATAGAACCGGAGATATAGGCAGTTGAAGGAGGCCGTGTTTTCGATTTTTGGGCTTTTTTGCGAAATTTCAACCCCTTGTAACTTCTAAACTAGGGGTAATAAAAAAAAAAAATGTTCTATTTATTCATTTGTTCCAAAGAACCTGTAGAAAAATTTATATTAAAATCAGAGAACTCAAGGTCATTTTTCACCTGTTTTTGTCCGGTTTTACGTGGAATGACTCATGTACGCTTAGGCATTGGTATAGGACTAAAACAAAAATGCTGAAAAAATTTATAAATGTAATAAGAAATATAGGGTATAACTATGTTTATTTTTTATAAAAATGTTGTTATCTTTTAGTAGGTACATAATATTTTTATTTGTAGGTACTAATTACCTTTAAAATTGAATATATAAACCCTCACAAACTTTCTATTATTACTTCAAACTATTGAAAACATCGTTTTGATTAACGAATATGAACATGAAATCCGGAGATTCAACCTAACTGCTAGGCGGTTGGGACAAGGAACACCTATTGACTGGCTAAGAGTAAGTATTTTTAAAAATAATAAAATCATTGTATACAATTATTTATTTTTAAAAACAATAACAAAATTGTATAACATATTTTTATTTTTAGAGAGGTTTAAACGCTCTTATTATTAATGGTATGCGTGGATTCGCAAATACTGATAGAGTACTTTTTTAACGCCGATTTTCCCGATAGGCCGTCACCAATGTCATTTAGGTAAAGTTTTGCAGAGTAATGCAAGCCTTTTAAGGAATAATTTACTAACCACGACAATTGATCGGTTCCAGATGCCCAATGGTAATGGCGCAGGACCTTTAAGTAGTCGCGTGGGGCCATGTGGCCCCAGCCGCTCTTTAAAGTCCTATAGCTTCTTGGCTGATTTTTTTTTTAATTCTGTCCCTGAATTATTCCTCAAATGAAGGTTTGAGAGCTTGATACACCACCAAAAATTTATTCCCTGCAACTGTTTTTTTTTCTACAGCTGATACATTAAGCCGGTGCACGGCTTGATGCCATATGTCCCCACGCGAGAACTCACGTTGGTGAAATCTTGCGACAATTAAATAAAAGACGACGAGTGGATATTGCTAATAATAAATTATATTATATAATATTAAACTATATTATTAAAAAAAATGACATTTGAAGGTCTGTAAAATCATTCTTGAACCGCATTATTTCAAACTTAATGAAAATTATCTTGTAGTTTCGGATTTTTAGGTATAAAAAAAGTTTGTATAATCTTTTGGTTTATCATTATACCTGAAGGTAAATAAAATAACAATTGGAAATAACGCGAAGGTATTTTTTTGGTATTTTGTAATGTAGGTAAAATGTGTTAAATTTAATGAAAATTACCTTGTAGTTTCGGATTTTAGGTATAAAAAAGTATATATAATCTTTGGTATATTTGTATATTCATTAGTTCAAGCTATTGCTTACAAAACGGTTGATTATTCAGTGAATATGGATGATTCAAGTGCTGGTCCAAGTTCAAGTGCCAAGGCAGCTTCAAGTTGGGAAAGTAAACGCCTACTTTCAGATAAAGAACTAGAAAAATTGCTCTTGGACAGTGAGTCTGATGATGATGTTCAATTAGAGCCAGAAAGTGAAAGTGAAAATTATGCAATCGAAGAAGATGTAGAGTTTAGTGATCATAATACGGACTCCGAACAAGACGAAGACTCTGAAGATGACGATCGAACCTCACCGATACATGGGAATTATTTTCTCGGCAAAGATAAAACCACTAAGTGGAGTAAAATCCCACCAAACAAAACAAAAACCAAGAAACACAACATCATAACGCATTTGCCCGGCTGTAAAGGTTCTGCAAAATCTGTCAAAACACCTGCCCAATCATTCTTTCTGTTTTTCGATGAGTATGTCTTTGATCTCTTCGTAGAAAACACGAACAAGTACATCACAGACACAGTACAGGACAAATTTGCAAGCGAAAGGGACGCTCGCCCAGTGAAAGTCAACGAAATGAAAGCGTTCTTGGCAATTTTAATAATTGGCGGAGTTATGAGATCGTCTCATTTGAATTTTGAAGATATGTTTTCCACCAATGACATGGGGAACGAATTCTTCTACACCACTATGAGTAAGCAGAGATTTCTCTTCATTTTACGCTGTATCCGATTTGATAATAAGACAACGAGAGCAGAAAGACAACAATATGATAAGCTAGCACCCATCCGTCACCTTTTTGAGTATCTAGTGAACACGTGTGCTCAACATTTCACCCCCAGTGAATATCTCACAGTTGATGAGCAATTGGTGGCGTTTCGAGGACATTGTAGTTTCCGGCAGTACATTCCTTCTAAACCAAACAAATATGGAATCAAGATATTTGCATTGGTTGATGCTCGAAATTTCTACAATCTGAAGATGGAAGTGTACTTGGGAAAACAGCCGGAAGGACCTTTCAAATTAACCCAACCAAACAAATCGCGCGCTGTAAAAAGTACTTCCTTTGGATTCACCAAAAATATAACAATGATGTCCTACGTGCCGAAGAAAGGAAAATCCGTGATCTTAATTTCAACAAAGGGTGGTGTGGACACTAACGATAAATTATGTGCCACATACAATGTCGCTTATCATTTATAACTCCTCAAATAATGGTAACCCATTAAAAAGAAGAGATTTTTTAAAAACACTAGGTCGGGAATTGGCTGAACCTCTACAAAATGAACGAAGAAATGACTCTCATATCCCCCGCAAAATTAGAAAACGGCTGAACAATCATTTTGAAGAAAAAGTAGTCGATAAACCTGAGCATCCAGCGCCAAAAACTAAGAAAAGGTGCCATATTTGCCCTAGATCACGGGACAAGGCAACCAGAGTAACTTGTATTAATTGTTATAAACATGTATGCCAAGATCACCTTAGAAATCTGTGTGCCGAGTGCTACGAAAACTAAATTTTTTTATGTATTTGACAATAAAATTATGTTAAAATGGTAAAACGATGATTAATTAATTTTTTAGAAGAAAAAAAACTGGAAAAATAGCCATATTTACCCATTGGGGCCATGTGGCCCCACGCGAGAAGTAACGTCATACCGACCACGCGACTACTTAAGGGTTAAAAGGATCAACGTATCAGGATTTTTGTGCCAAAAAGCGAGGTATAGTAACTATTTTTAATAATAATGATAACTACTGTCTGGCTGATGCTATAGCATCACCTATAACGTTAAATTTCTATTTTTATAAATTCTTAAATTAAACTTGCAATTTTTTTTTTGGTATTTTATTTTTAATTATAATTTTTCCATTTTTCTTATTTCTTCTTTTGCAGATCTGCTCGAGGTAGGGTGGCTGCTAGTACTACTGGGTATCTATTGATTAAGAGGAATACCAAGCATGCTGAAAGGATGCCATTCCAAAGGATAAGCATGTGGACTTTATGGATGAAATGGAGATCAGAGTAGGTTCTTTACCCTTTTTTTAACTTTCTTAACTTTTTTTAGGATTAAGTAAGAATTTCTTCAAGTTTGAACATCTCGCCCGCAAGATGAGTCAAATTTTCAGGTTTTCTTCTATTTCCTCAGTTTCGATGTTGGTAATTTTCCATGTTTTTCTTGGAATGACGTTTTTATTCATAGTAGCATGACTCAGCAGCACAAGCTTTTTCCGTACCCCAAAAAATATTTCTTTTCTTCTTTTTATTTTCAATATTCTTTATTCTTCATTTACATAAATTTTCTTTTTTCCTTTTTAGCTTTATTAAAGTCGACTTCTTGTTTTCATTCTTCTATACGTTATGGGTATCGTAGCTTCATAGAACAGGGCTTCTGGTAAGGGCTTCCAAAAGGATCCTGCTGATATTTCAATGGCAGCTTCTTCGGGTTGCCAGGATAAAATAGGTTTAAAGTTAACTTAAAAATTAGTTTGCAAGTATATACAAATTGGCATTAGGGATAGGGGGTACAGGGGTTGAAAAGGAAGGGGTGTAGTATTCCTCTTTCTTCTTTTTTTTATACTTGGGTTTTGAGTTTAAAAACAATTTTCTTTAATTCTCCCATATCCATCGTCGTTGGGGCAATAAGGTAATAGGACTCGTAGTACAAAGGGTGTAGGCCATTTTCAAAGTGGTCCCGAAAGATGTCGAAAGCCATTTGAGGGTTAACTTCTTCGGCAAGGTGTTGTAGTTCAAAAAAATAGCTATTGATGTTTTCGTTTTCGCCTTATTTTTTTGAATTTTATTTTATTTTTTCTGCTCTCGCAAAATGTTCTCCTCCAAATTCTTCTAAAAAGTCTTTTTTCAAATTTTCCCAATTTTTCTCTCTATTTTCCTGACTGTTGACGTATTTTGTATACCATGTAATGGCCGCTCCTTCCATAAATGATCCTAGATAATTTATTTTATATGTGTCGCTCCATCCGTTAATTTGGGAACATCTTTCGTAGTTTTTCATAAAGGTTATGGCGTTGGTCGTCGTCGGGTTGAATGTTGTGGGGGCAATAAACTTCGGGACTGCAGGTGTTCTTCCGGTCTGGGATGCTTCTAAAATTGTTGTGTTCGACATGTCGATGATTTGTGGTTCGGTTTGGGTGATAGGGCAATTTTCTTCAGGATTATCTTATATCTCAGTTGCTTGGGAAAAAGGTAAGGATATATCTTCAGAAGGACTTAAAATTGAAAGATTTTGTAAAGGACTTAAAAAGGTTTTGGATACGGGCTTCTACGTTGTCGTCTTCTTCTATTTCGGATTGATTTTCGTCGGGATTTGCCTCTTCTTCGCTGTTTTCTTCTTCTGCGTTGAAAGTTTGGTTATTAGAGTTTTCTGAGTCTTCTATATTAAATGTTGACTTTTGGATTTCTTCTTCTGATTTTTCTTCCTGTTTTCAGTCTGTTTTTCGGGTATTACAGGTTCTTTCGGTGGTCGTAGAAAATATCTTGTTTGTTTAGGTTCGGTGCCAGTCGGTGATCGTGGTAACGTTGAGGAGGGTTTGAAGATGGATTTTTCCGTGCTGCGATGTGATGGGTTGAATGTCAATTTTCCCAAAAGCTTCTTGCGTGACATTAAATTTAACTAACGCCGACCTCGTTTTTCTTAGAGTTTCCAAATAGATTCAGCGAGCATTCGGTCAATCCTGGGTACCGATGCTTTCTCTATTCAGGAAGTCTTCTATGAATAAATACAGCGAGTATTCGGCCAATCCTGGGTAACTTTCTCTATTAATAGTGATGGTACAAGATCGTTGGCGCCTCCACCAAGCGACGATTGAGGACTCCACCATGTGACGATCGGGGACACCATCGATGATTGGGACTGTTGGGTGACGTATGGTTGAAAGGCCAAACTTACATTATAACAGCTTTATTTCTGAATGCTTCTACATTACAAGCAATATGGGTTTATATACAAAACTAGAACACTACGTCATATACACGAGAAATACATGTTTGCAATTCTCACAATAAATTTCCACGTAAATCTACTTGAGAATCAATTAGTCTGCAATAATCTGAAACTTTCCTGTTGCTTTTATGTGGGAAAATAATTATTATATTAAAGTAAAGTAAAATTAATATAAATCAATAAATAATATTTTCTTATGAAATGGTTCCAAAGTTAACAAATTCTCATTTGCATCCTTCCAACTTTGAAAAAATGAAAGTTTCTTTGGTAGCACAGTTATTTAGTGCAACTTTAGCAAGCTCGTTGGAATTATTAATTTCAATTGGCTACTTACCACAGTCTGCTATGCCAACTGCCAATTTTGTGCGTGAAATGGATAAATTTTTTGATATTTTAAATTCTTTTAAGTTTGCAACAAAAAGTTTTAACAGACCCTTTATTGGTAGTGATGAACAGATACATTTTTTAAATCAAATGAATAATACATTTAAAAATTTAAAAGTTATGGATAGTAACAATAAAGATCACACAAAATCAATGAAATTTTTAAAAGGTTGGAATACTACCATTAATGGAGTTTTGCTACTCTGGCAAGATTTGCATCCCAGACAAAAAGTCCTGTTTACAAGGGGGCTGAATCAGGATTGCCTCAAAAATATGTTTGGCAGTATAAGGCAAAAGGGCGGTAACAATAAAAATCCAACTCCAATTCAATTTCACTATGCATTTAAAAAAATGTTTACTTTAAATTACTTTCAGCACGTAGAGGGTGCTGTGCTACTTTAAAAGTTACAAAAATACAGAAAAGTCAACTTTTGGAAATTTAAAAATGCCTTCATCTACTTTTTACGAATATATTTTTAAGCTAGACTTAAGGTTTTGTGAAATATTTCCACAGTTATCGATTTTAGACAATGTAGGACAAAAAATAAAGGAAGAATTGGAGAAAATCCCATTTACAAATCCATGTGATTTTTTTCAATTAAATTATTTATTGTGCCTATTTGTAAGATTTAAAAATTTTTATACTTTGAAATTTGCAAATAGAGGTTTCCTAGAATCGAGAGTCAAAAACAATAAAAAAATCAAAAGCCAATTAATATCAGACATTTATAATTTCATTATTATTTTTGACTCCTAATTTATTACATAGGTATTATAATAATTATTATGTTAATTGTTAAAATAAAATAAAATAATTAAAATTCTGTTAGGTAATATTTGTTAATTCATTGTAATCATTTTCTTATAATTTTTTAAGCACCCACTATTTTTGTTCAATAATACAAAATGGTAGGTACCTATTTTTAAAATTTTATGTTTTTATAATCTTTTAAAAAATATTTTTATAATAATTACCTATAATACAAAATAATATTAATATTAATATTAATATTTTTTATATAAAAAAGCTTTTATTAATTAATTATTTTTTATTTTTTTATAATAATTATTTATAAAAAAGCTTTAATTAATTATTTTAATTTTTTTATAATAATTATAATACAAAATTGTATTTTTTTATATAAAAAAAAGCTTTTCTCCGGGTAAGATTTGAACCAGGGTTCTCCCGAGTCTGAGCTGCAGACATTTCCGCTACACCAAATATCGTTTTCAAAAAAGTTAAATGTGTGTATATAAAAGATGCCCCAGACAATAGGTGATTGACCTGCTTGCGCACAACGGCTGCGTTAGGTTAACTTTGCGATACAAAATCTGGGGAGTGCGACTTCTGCCTTACTCTATTCTGTGACAAAGCGTTATAATGGACAAAATGTGGCAAAAATTAAATAAGAAGTCAAGCAAGTGTGGCTTTATAAATAATGGCAAGCATAATCCTAAAAGTTTAAAGTTTTTAAGCAGGCAAGCTGTGAACGCTAGTTGCACAGTCGAGGACATATAAATGATTTGCCGAGGTGTTTAAAAAATGAAGTTTTTAATGAAAGATGCTACGACTTCGCTTCAAACTTCCCAATAGTGGATACCCTATATTGTGCGACATGTTCGGACCAATTATGAACAAATGGCATGATAAGGCGTTGAGGATGTTTTGGAGATTTAGAGGAGACATACTGCAGTATTACTATTAAAAAAATTATACGTACGCTACTGCCCATCAGCGACTTCTTTTGTATCGAAGACAGATTTTTGGAAACTACGTTTGGCAGGTTTTGCACCACGTGCTTGGAAAAAAAATGCTTAAAAAAATTTGTGGACTTTAAAATTAAAGGTTTAACTATGCATCTATGTGACGCTCTTAACCGACGAGTTTTTGCATATGCGTATGCACCCTAAAATGTGGTGCAATTCCTGCAATCGATGTATATTACTTAAGTTGGTTCCAGCTGAGCATTGTGAAAATGCTTGTGTTGTAGGCGGTGATCCCATTCGATGCATAGACTACAAAACCGGAGTAGTCGCCGCTGAAGAGCCCGAGGAAGAAGCAGATGAATAATTTTAATTATATTTAGGTTAATTTGTATATATTTTTAAATTTTAATTATATACTGCTCCAAGAAATTAACGCACCACGTATTATTTTGTAAATAAAATTTTCTATCAAAGTAAATAGTACAATGTTTATATTAATTTTGAAACACTCTCGTATATGACTATTAAAAAGTGTGTAAACGTTTTTATAAGATCTTTAATTTTTTTGTTATGTCGAATATACCAATTCTGGTAAATTACTACAACAGGTTAAAGTATCGCCGCGCCTCGCAGTTTTGTTAGACTTCATTTATCATCTCTATTTACTTTTTAATTTTCACTTATTGTCAAGATGCAACGGCAATCAAGAAATTTAACTCGCGATGAGTGTGCCCAAGTGGTTGTTTTAGTGCAAGAAGGTTGGAGTTACCGCAGAATAGCTGAAAGGTTTGGTGTATCCCATACATCCATTTCTCGTATGTTTCAACGGTACATGGAGACTGGTGGCCATACTAGGAGACCAGGTCGAGGACATATAAATGATTTGCCGAGGTGTTTAAAAAATGAAGTTTTCAGTGAAAGATGCTACGACTTCGCTTCAAACTTCCCAATAGTGGATACCCTATATTGTGCGACATGTTCGGACCAATTATGAACAAATGGCATGATAAGGCGTTGAGGATGTTTTGGAGATTTAGAGGAGACATACTGCAGTATTACTATTAAAAAAATTATACGTACGCTACTGCCCACCAGAAACTTCTTTTGTATCGAATACAGATTTTTGGAAACTACGTTTGGCAGGTTTTGCACCACGTGCTTAGAAAAAGAGTGCTTAAAAAAATTTGTGGACTTTAAAATTAAAGGTTTAACTATGCATCATGTGACGCTCTTAACCCACGAGTTTGTGCATATGCGTATGCACCCTAAAATGTGGTGCAATTCCTGCAATCGACGTATATTACTTAAGTTGGTTCCAGCTGAGCATTGTGAAAATGCTTATGTTGTAGGCGGTGATCCCATTCGATGCATAGACTACAAAACCGGAGTAGTTGCCGCTGAAGAGCCCGAGGAAGAAGCAGATGAATAATTTTAATTATATTTAGTTTAATTTGTATATATTTTTAAATTTTAATTATATACTGCTCCAAGAAATTAACGCACCACGTATTATTTTGTAAATAAAATTTTCTTTCAAAGTAAATAGTACAATGTTTATATTAATTTTGAAACACTCTCGTATATGACTATTAAAAAGTGTGTAAACGTTTTTATAAGATCTTTAATTTTTTTGTTATGTCGAATATACCAATTCTGGTAAATTACTACAACAGGTTAAAGTATCGCCGCGCCTCGCAGTTTTGTTAGACTTCATTTATCATCTCTATTTACTTTTTAATTTTCACTTATTGTCAAGATGCAACGGCAATCGAGAAATTTAACTCGCGATGAGTGTACCCAAGTGGTTGTTTTAGTGCAAGAAGGTTGGAGTTACCGCAGAATAGCTGAAAGGTTTGGTGTATCCCATACATCCATTCCTCGTATGTTTCAACGGTACATGGAGACTGGTGGCCATACTAGGAGACCAGGTCAGGGTAGAAATCGTGCTACGACTCCTGCTCAAGATCGATTTTTGAGACTTTTAACTTTGAGACAACGGTTTGTGACTACAAGAATGTTGCAGTCTCAGTTGGAAAACGTAGAAGGGGTTCGAATAAGTATTGAAACCATTCGACAACGACTTAGGAAAGATAATTTGCAACCCCGAATTCCTGCACGAGGCCCGCTCTTAACCTTGGCCGGCTAAATTTTACTAGAGAGCACGTCAACTGGGTAGAAGCGGATTGGAAACGAGTTCTGTTTACAGATGAGTCTAGATTTTGTCTATACACATGTGATAGACGCGTTCGTGTGTTTCGACGGCCAAATGAAAGATATGTCCAATGTTACTTCCTTAATACGACCTTATTTGGTGGGGGCTAAATTATGGTGTGGGGAGGTATATCTTTAACAGCACTTACCGACTTAGTGGTGATAAATAATGGCAACCTTAATTCTGAGCGTTACATTTTGAACATTCTGGAAGAACATGTTGTGCCATATGCCCCTTTTATAGGTCCAAATTTATTACTAATGCAGGATAATGCACGACCACACACTGCCCAGGTAGTCCTAAATTATCTTGCTGCCGTTGGGATTAATGCTAGAGCCTGGCCAGATCGCAGTCCAGACCTTAACCCTATATAACACATCTGGGACATTCTTGAGAGACGTTTAAGGGGCCATCCAAACGGTCCGAATAACTTAGAGGATGTAGAGCGCCTTCTACTGGAAATTTGGGAGAATTTGGACCAAAATGAAATTCGAACCCTGATTTTGAGTATAAACAGAAGATGTGAGGCTGTCATTCGTAGTAGAGGTGAAAATACCCAATATTAAGCACACATTTTTAATTTTTATAAAAATCGCATTCTGTTAATTTTTAATTTTTTGAAAAAAAACATTATTTTTAGGGATTTTTTTCTGACATTATAAATAAAAACCTATTTTTAAATAAATATACAGATAGTGTGTACCTTTATCTTTACCATTTTCAAAACATATTAAAAATAATAAATTATTATATAATTAGGTTAAATTATATATTTTAAGTTTATTTTGTACATTTTAGATTATTTAGATTAGGTACTTATATATTTTTTAAAAATTTAAAAAATGTAAAGAAAGCCAATGGAGAATACCGCTTCTGCTTCCACGGTCGTAAGTTAAATTCCGTTACAAAGAGAGATTACTATCCTTTGCCTTTTGTGGACAGAATTTTCAACATGCTTCGCGACGCGAAATTTATTACCAGTCTCAAATTAAAAAGTGCCTTCTAGCAGATTCCTCTAGACCAGGAGTCTAAAGAGAAGTGTGAATTTAGTGTTTCCGGTAGAGGACTTTTTCAATTTGCAGTATTACCTTTTGGTTTGTCAAATAGTGTCCAGACACAACAAAGACTAATGGACAAAATTTTGGGTCCGGAATTTGAACCTAATGTTTTCGTATACCTTGATGACATCATTATTACTAGTAATAATTTTTCAGATCCCATTACATTATTGCATAAGGTATACGAACGTCTGAAAGACGCAAATTTAACTATAAATATCGAGAAATGTCAATTTTTCCGAAAGGAATTAAAATATTTAGGATTTGTTGTGGATGGAAACGGTTTGAGGACCAATTCTGAAAAAGTCGAGGCTATGGTAAACTATCCTAGACCAACTACTACTACCGAAATTAAAAGGTTTATAGGGATGTGTTCGTGGTATCGCCGCTTTATAAATGGGTTTAGCTCTTTGGTTTCGCCGCTCAATGACCTTTTAAAGGGCAACAAAGGCAAAAATAAACCTATCGAATGGTCAGATACTGCGGAATCTGCTTTTGTTAAAATAAAAGAGGCGTTAATATCGGCTCCCCTATTGTCAAGTCCAAATTTCTCGCTACCTTTTTTTATACAGACTGATGCTAGTTTGACAGGTCTTGGTGCAGATATTTTTCAAGTTTCAAGAGGGCCAGGAAAAGGTCATTGCGTACTCAAGTTGTGCTATTAGTCGAGCTGAACGGAATTATTCAGTAACAGAGCGCGAATTGCTCGGTGTAATTCACGGTTTGCAAAAGTTCCGTCTTTATATAGAGGTTCAAAAGTTTACGGTGATAACGGAGCACTACTCGTTGTTGTGGCCTAAGCGAATGTCAAACCCTGTCGGGAAGTTAGCTCGTTGGGCAGTTCTATTGTCCAATTTTGATTTTGACCTAGTGCACCGAAAAGGTACTTTAAATGTAGTCGCCGATTCTTTATCCAGAGTGCACCCTGTGGTTGATTCCAATTTAACATCTTCGGAAGATTTCGACGAATGGTATATCTCCTTTAGGGATAAAATTTTAAAGAACCCTAAGGAATATCCTCATTTTAAGGTGGAAAATAATTTTGTTTATAAGTATTTACCTGAAAAATCCAATATTAATACTAATATTTCGGACTTTGCTCCATCTTCACAACGTAAGGAAATTTTGCAAAAATGTCATGATGACCCACTAGCAAGTCATATGGGGTTCTTCTCTAAAACGTTTAAAAGAATATCGTCGGAATATTATTGGCCACAGATGCGCCGGGATATCGTTAAATATATTCGCGCGTGTAAGACCTGTAGTGAACAAAAAGTAGCCTTTGAGGGAACTCATGATAAAATGGGTACGGAAAAGCGAGCTAGTTTTCCTTGGCAGATTATTTCTACAGATATTTATGGTCCTTTACCCCGCAGCAGGAGTGGAAATTCATATATACTACTAGTTTCTGATTGGTTTACTTAATTTGTTCTATTGCACCCAATGCGTCATGCCACTGCTCAAGAAATAGTAAAATTTATGGAAAATTAGGTTTTCTTAATTTGGGGGGTACCTGAATTTATAATTGCTGACAACGGGACTCAGTATGCTAGCAAAGTTTTTAAACAGCTTTGTGAGGATTACAAGCTACAAAAAATCTGGTTTAAGTGTAGATACCATCCTAGGACGAACCCTAGTGAAAGGATCAATAGAGGGGTTGGGACCGCTTTAAGAAGTTATATCAAAGACAAAAATTTACATACAAATTGGGACAAACAAATACATAAGATAGCGGCTGCGATTCGTTCATCCACATCGAAAGTTACGGGCTTCCCTAGTACTTTTTTAAACTTTGGTCGAGTATTATGGTAAGATACCTAAAATATTAGGTTCAGAGTTAGGGCCTACCGATGTTAAATCCTATGTGGATGAACTGTGGAAATTTCCAGAGCTTTACCATAAAATAAAAATAAAATGTTCATGGCATATGCAAAAAATCAGCGGGTCTTTAATCTTTGAAAGCGGGATATTGTCTTTAAACCAGGCGAAAAGGTCTGGAAACGGAATTTTGTACTAAGTGATGCCTTAGGAGTAGGGCATTGTCGGCCTACCGAAAACGTCAAGTTGATATCGTTCCTCGAGGCATCAAGGATCCCACAAAATGAACATCCGGAAGACTTGTTACAGCACAGTACCGTTGCTAGTGGTAAGAAGCGATTGCGCTCTGACGACTTTTCAAATTCCCTTAGGAGTAGGGCATTGTTGGCCTACCGAAAACGTCAAGTTGATGGCGTTCCTCGAGGCATCAAGTATCCCACAAAATGAACATCCGGAAGAGCTGTTACAGCAGAGTACGGTTGCTAGTGGTAAGAAGAGGTTGCACTCTGACGACATTGCCGATCAAATACTTTTTGATCTGCAAATGAATCTCTGTTGGGACTTCAATCGCCAGATGTACATTTTATGGAGTTGGTGATAAAGACGGCAATTGATCATTACGACGAGGACGACTAGGACAACGAGGACAACGAGGATGAACCAACACCACCACACGAGGATTCTGACTATTTGGAATCATCAAGCTACGAGGACGAGGACGAGGACGAGTGCATTAAATCACTCGTCGCGGGGACCATTCGCCGTGAATCAAATAATCCTAAACGATTCAGATCGCGTTTTCGTTATAAACAGAATAATGTTCGTTCGTGGGAGTGACTCGTAGGCAGCAACAATTCATGCAAACTATATTTGGCATTCAAACGCCGAGAATCTGGAAAGGTCAACGGGCGGGATCTTAGGACACGATTCCTAAAGATGGTCGTTTTACCGGCAGCGGCTTCTTTAAGCGAAGCAACGACATCTTTGGATCACGGATCGAGCGCCATCGACTTGCCTTAACTTCATAAGGACCTGAAGCTCTTTGGTAAGGATATTAAGGCATTTTTTGAAAAAATTGATTGTATTTTGCAAGAATTGTTCGACCCTGCCACCACCACCACCACCAACGAACGACTTCCGCTACACCAAATATCGTTTTCAAAAAAGTTAAATGTGTGTATATAAAAGATGCCCCAGACGATAGGTGATTGACCTGCTTGCGCACAACGGCTGCGTTAGGTTAACTTTGCGATACAAAATCTGGGGAGTGCGACTTCTGCCTTACTCTATTCTGTGACAAAGCGTTATAATGGACAAAATGTGGCAAAGATTAAATAAGAAGTCAAGCAAGTGTGGCTTTATAAATAATGGCAAGCATAATCCTAAAAGTTTAAAGTTTTTAAGCAGGCAAGCTGTAAACGCTAGTTACACAGTCGAGGACATATAAATGATTTGCCGAGGTGTTTAAAAAATGAAGTTTTCAGTGAAAGATGCTACGACTTCGCTTCAAACTTCCCAATAGTGGATACCCTATATTGTGCGACATGTTCGGACCAATTATGAACAAATGGCATGATAAGGCGTTGAGGATGTTTTGGAGATTTAGAGGAGACATACTGAAGTATTACTATTAAAAAAATTATACGTACGCTACTGCCCACCAGCGACTTCTTTTGTATCGAAGACAGATTTTTGGAAACTACGTTTGGCAGGTTTTGCATCACGTGCTTAGAAAAAAAATGCTTAAAAAAATTTGTGGACTTTAAAATTAAAGGTTTAACTATGCATCATGTGACGCTCTTAACCGACGAGTTTGTGCATATGCACCCTAAAATGTGGTGCAATTCCTGCAATCGACGTATATTACTTAAGTTGGTTCCAGCTGAGCATTGTGAAAATGCTTATGTTGAAGGCGGTGATCCCATTCGATGCATAGACTACAAAACCGGAGTAGTCGCCGCTAAAGAGCCCGAGGAAGAAGCAGATGAATAATTTTAATTATATTTAGTTTAATTTGTATATATTTTTAAATTTTAATTATATACTGCTCCAAGAAATTAACGCACCACGTATTATTTTGTAAATAAAATTTTCTTTCAAAGTAAATAGTACAATGTTTATATTAATTTTGAAACACTCTCGTATATGACTATTAAAAAGTGTGCAAACGTTTTTATAAGATCTTTAATTTTTTTGTTATGTCGAATATACCAATTCTGGTAAATTACTACAACAGGTTAAAGTATCGCCGCGCCTCGCAGTTTTGTTAGACTTCATTTATCATCTCTATTTACTTTTTAATTTTCACTTATTGTCAAGATGCAACGGCAATCAAGAAATTTAACTCGCGATGAGTGTGCCCAAGTGGTTGTTTTATTGCAAGAAGGTTGGAGTTACCGCAGAATAGCTGAAAGGTTTGGTGTATCCCATACATCCATTTCAACGGTACATGGAGACTGGTGGCCATACTAGGAGACCAGGTCGAGGACATATAAATGATTTGCCGAGGTGTTTAAAAAATGAAGTTTTCAGTGAAAGATGCTACGACTTCGCTTTAAACTTCCCAATAGTGGATATCCTATATTGTGCGACATGTTCGGACCAATTATGAACAAATGGCATGATAAGGCGTTGAGGATGTTTTGGAGATTTAGAGGAGACATACTGCAGTATTACTATTAAAAAAATTATACGTACGCTACTGCCCACCAGCAACTTCTTTTGTATCGAATACAGATTTTTGGAAACTACGTTTGGCAGGTTTTGCACCACGTGCTTAGAAAAAAAGTGCTTAAAAAAATGTGTGGACTTTAAAATTAAAGGTTTAACTATGCATCATGTGACGCTCTTAACCCACGAGTTTGTGCATATGCGTATGCACCCTAAAATGTGGTGCAATTCCTGCAATCGACGTATATTACTTAAGTTGGTTCCAGCTGAGCATTGTGAAAATGATTATGTTGTAGGCGGTGATCCCATTCGATGCATAGACTACAAAACCGGAGTAGTCGCCGCTAAAGAGCCCAAGGAAGAAGCAGATGAATAATTTTAATTATATTTAGGTTAATTTGTATATATTTTTAAATTTTAATTATATACTGCTCCAAGAAATTAACGCACCACGTATTATTTTGTAAATAAAATTTTCTATCAAAGTAAATAGTACAATGTTTATATTAATTTTGAAACACTTTCGTATATGACTATTAAAAAGTGTGCAAACGTTTTTATAAGATCTTTAATTTTTTTGTTATGTCGAATATACCAATTCTGGTAAATTACTACAACAGGTTAAAGTATCGCCGCGCCTCGCAGTTTTGTTAGACTTCATTTATCATCTCTATTTACTTTTTAATTTTCACTTATTGTCAAGATGCAACGGCAATCAAGAAATTTAACTCGCGATGAGTGTGCCCAAGTGGTTGTTTTATTGCAAGAAGGTTGGAGTTACCGCAGAATAGCTGAAAGGTTTGGTGTATCCCATACATCCATTTCAACGGTACATGGAGACTGGTGGCCATACTAGGAGACCAGGTCGAGGACATATAAATGATTTGCCGAGGTGTTTAAAAAATGAAGTTTTCAGTGAAAGATGCTACGACTTCGCTTTAAACTTCCCAATAGTGGATATCCTATATTGTGCGACATGTTCGGACCAATTATGAACAAATGGCATGATAAGGCGTTGAGGATGTTTTGGAGATTTAGAGGAGACATACTGCAGTATTACTATTAAAAAAATTATACGTACGCTACTGCCCACCAGCAACTTCTTTTGTATCGAATACAGATTTTTGGAAACTACGTTTGGCAGGTTTTGCACCACGTGCTTAGAAAAAAAGTGCTTAAAAAAATTTGTGGACTTTAAAATTAAAGGTTTAACTATGCATCATGTGACGCTCTTAACCCACGAGTTTGTGCATATGCGTATGCACCCTAAAATGTGGTGCAATTCCTGCAATCGACGTATATTACTTAAGTTGGTTCCAGCTGAGCATTGTGAAAATGATTATGTTGTAGGCGGTGATCCCATTCGATGCATAGACTACAAAACCGGAGTAGTCGCCGCTAAAGAGCCCAAGGAAGAAGCAGATGAATAATTTTAATTATATTTAGGTTAATTTGTATATATTTTTAAATTTTAATTATATACTGCTCCAAGAAATTAACGCACCACGTATTATTTTGTAAATAAAATTTTCTATCAAAGTAAATAGTACAATGTTTATATTAATTTTGAAACACTTTCGTATATGACTATTAAAAAGTGTGTAAACGTTTTTATAAGATCTTTAATTTTTTTGTTATGTCGAATATACCAATTCTGGTAAATTACTACAACAGGTTAAAGTATCGCCGCGCCTCGCAGTTTTGTTAGACTTCATTTATCATCTCTATTTACTTTTTAATTTTCACTTATTGTCAAGATGCAACGGCAATCGAGAAATTTAACTCGCGATGAGTACCCAAGTGGTTGTTTTAGTGCAAGAAGGTTGGAGTTACCGCAGAATAGCTGAAAGGTTTGGTGTATCCCATACATCCATTTCTCGTATGTTTCAACGGTACATGGAGACTGGTGGCCATACTAGGAGACCAGGTCAGGGTAGAAATCGTGCTACGACTCCTGCTCAAGATCGTTTTTTAAGACTTTTAACTTTGAGACAACGGTTTGTGACTACAAGAATGTTGCAGTCTCAGTTGGAAAACGTAGAAGGGGTTCAAATAAGTATTGAAACCATTCGACAACGACTTAGGAAAGATAATTTGCAACCCCGAATTCCTGCACGAGGCCCGCTCTTAACCTTGGCCGGCTAAATTTTACTAGAGAGCACGTCAACTGGGTAGAAGCGGATTGGAAACGAGTTCTGTTTACAAATGAGTCTAGATTTTGTCTATACACATGTGATAGACGCGTTCGTATGTTTCGACGGCCAAATGAAAGATATGTCCAATGTTACTTCCTTAATACGACCTTATTTGGTGGGGGCTCAATTATGGTGTGGGGAGGTATATCTTTAACAGCACTTACCGACTTAGTGGTGATAAATAATGGCAACTTTAATTCTGAGCGTTACATTTTGAACATTCTGGAAGAACATGTTGTGCCATATGCCCCTTTTATAGGTCCAAATTTATTACTAATGCAGGATAATGCACGACCACACACTGCCCAGGTAGTCCTAAATTATCTTGCTGCCGTTGGGATTAATGCTAGAGCCTGGCCAGATCTCAGTCCAGACCTTAACCCTATATAACACATCTGGGACATTCTTGGGAGACGTTTAAGGGGCCATCCAAACGGTCCGAATAACTTAGAGGATGTAGAGCGCCTTCTACTGGAAATTTGGGAGAATTTGGACCAAAATGAAATTCGAACCCTGATTTTGAGTATAAACAGAAGATGTGAGGCTGTCATTCGTAGTAGAGGTGAAAATACCCAATATTAAGCACAAATTTTTAATTTTTATAAAAATCGCATTCTGTTAATTTTTAATTTTTTGAAAAAAAACATTATTTTTAGGGATTTTTTTCTGACATTATAAATAAAAACCTATTTTTAAATAAATATACAGATAGTGTGTACCTTTATCTTTACCATTTTCAAAACATATTAAAAATAATAAATTATTATATAATTAGGTTAAATTATATATTTTAAGTTTATTTTGTACATTTTAGATTATTTAGATTAGGTACTTATATATTTTTTAAAAATTTAAAAAATGTAAAGAAAGCCAATGGAGAATACCGCTTCTGCTTCCACGGTCGTTAGTTAAATTCCGTTACAAAGAGAGATTACTATCCTTTGCCTTTTGTGGACAGAATTTTCAACATGCTTCGCGACGCGAAATTTATTACCAGTCTCAAATTAAAAAGTGCCTTCTAGCAGATTCCTCTAGACCAGGAGTCTAAAGAGAAGTGTGAATTTAGTGTTCCCGGTAGAGGACTTTTTCAATTTGCAGTATTACCTTTTGGTTTGTCAAATAGTGTCCAGACACAACAAAGACTAATGGACAAAATTTTGGGTCCGGAATTTGAACCTAATGTTTTCGTATACCTTGATGACATCATTATTACTAGTAATAATTTTTCAGATCCCATTACATTATTGCATAAGGTATACGAACGTCTGAAAGACGCAAATTTAACTATAAATATCGAGAAATGTCAATTTTTCCGAAAGGAATTAAAATATTTAGGATTTGTTGTGGATGGAAACGGTTTAAGGACCAATTCTGAAAAAGTCGAGGCTATGGTAAACTATCCTAGACCAACTACTACTACCGAAATTAAAAGGTTTATAGGGATGTGTTCGTGGTATCGCCGCTTTATAAATGGGTTTAGCTCTTTGGTTTCGCCGCTCAATGACCTTTTAAAGGGCAACAAAGGCAAAAATAAACCTATCGAATGGTCAGATACTGCGGAATCTGCTTTTGTTAAAATAAAAGAGGCGTTAATATCGGCTCCCCTATTGTCAAGTCCAAATTTCTCGCTACCTTTTTTTATACAGACTGATGCTAGTTTGACAGGTCTTGGTGCAGATATTTTTCAAGTTTCAAGAGGGCCAGGAAAAGGTCATTGCGTACTCAAGTTGTGCTATTAGTCGAGCTGAACGGAATTATTCAGTAACAGAGCGCGAATTGCTCGGTGTAATTCACGGTTTGCAAAAGTTCCGTCTTTATATAGAGGTTCAAAAGTTTACGGTGATAACGGAGCACTACTCGTTGTTGTGGCCTAAGCGAATGTCAAACCCTGTCGGGAAGTTAGCTCGTTGGGCAGTTCTATTGTCCAATTTTGATTTTGACCTAGTGCACCGAAAAGGTACTTTAAATGTAGTCGCCGATTCTTTATCCAGAGTGCACCCTGTGGTTGATTCCAATTTAACATCTTCGGAAGATTTCGACGAATGGTATATCTCCTTTAGGGATAAAATTTTAAAGAACCCTAAGGAATATCCTCATTTTAAGGTGGAAAATAATTTTGTTTATAAGTATTTACCTGAAAAATCCAATATTAATACTAATATTTCGGACTTTGCTCCATCTTCACAACGTTAGGAAATTTTGCAAAAATGTCATGATGACCCACTAGCAAGTCATATGGGGTTCTTCTCTAAAACGTTTAAAAGAATATCGTCGGAATATTATTGGCCACAGATGCGCCGGGATATCGTTAAATATATTCGCGCGTGTAAGACCTGTAGTGAACAAAAAGTAGCCTTTGAGGGAACTCATGATAAAATGGGTACGGAAAAGCGAGCTAGTTTTCCTTGGCAGATTATTTCTACAGATATTTATGGTCCTTTACCCCGCAGCAGGAGTGGAAATTCATATATACTACTAGTTTCTGATTGGTTTACTTAATTTGTTCTATTGCACCCAATGCGTCATGCCACTGCTCAAGAAATAGTAAAATTTATGGAAAATTAGGTTTTCTTAATTTGGGGGGTACCTCAATTTATAATTGCTGACAACGGGACTCAGTATGCTAGCAAAGTTTTTAAACAGCTTTGTGAGGATTACAAGCTACAAAAAATCTGGTTTAATTGTAGATACCACAAGATTTTCCACAAAAAAAAGCGTGTGTGAAAGCCTTAGATAACATCAAGAAAGGTATGCTTATACATATTTATAACTAATAAAGAAAATACTGAAAAATCAATAAAAAAACTTACTGCATGGGAAAAGTAAACAACCTAAGCCATATCTAACATAAAATTTTGGAGCTTTAACACACAATTAAACATATAATAAAAACAAATAAACAAACACGTCACCGAAATTGTTTAAACGCGACAAAAAAAAAAACAATAAAATAAAGGAGTCCACACACTGAGTTCTTTTAGAATTTAATAAGTAACTAAAAATGGAATTTAGTGAATCACAAAAATCTTTCATAACCGAGCTGTTTAACAAAATAGACAATAAAATATCAAACCACAGTTTGGAAATCAAGGAAGTTTCAACGCAAGTAGTTGAATTAAAATTAGAAATCCAAAAAGTGCTAGACGGATACGAAAACAGAATTGGAGAACTAGAACAGCAAAACTTAAAACTAAAAAAAACAAATATCCTTCTTGAAAGAAAAGTAAGGAAAAATAACATAGTTATCTTTGGCCTCAAAATAGAAGAAAACGAAGGCATAGATTCACATTTATTAAATTTTTTCCTAACAAAATTAAACATAGAATTAACTACATCAGATATAAACGATTCATACAAACTAGGATCTGGAAGCAACCCATCACCCCCAATCTTAATAGAATTCATCTCATATAAAACAAAACAATCAATACTTAAAAACGCCTACAAACTAAAAGGTGAATCAATATATATTAATTCTGATTTGTGTCCTGAAGACCAAAAAATCAACAAAATCTTGTATCAACATAAAAAGGAAGCGACAGCAAAAGGTCTTAAAGCCAAAGTAAAGGGAAGTAACCTAATCATTGGGGAGGAAAAATTTTCAATAGAAGACTTAGAAAAAAAAGCCCAGACTGAACAAGAAGAAGACTCAGAGAAGCTGGCCAGAGCCCCTGCCACTCCGAATCCTACCACGAGTCAAAAAAGGTTGCTAGAAGAGTTTAACTTACCAGAAAGCGAAGAAGAAATTACTACAAAAGAAACTGAAAATAAGGTAATAAAAAAACCAAAACTAACTGACTTAAACGCGACTCGTAAAACTACACGGTCAACAACTCAATCAGTATACCAAACAAAAACTAATAAATAAACATAATACTTAAATTTTTTTTATAATAATTATCTTTAGGTCTATAATCGTTTTTAATCTGTAAATAAATTGTTTTTATGCCAAATTGTAATAATCGTAATTCCTTCTTTTTCATAGTATATTTTATAATTATTTTTAGGTCTATAAACGTTTTTAATCTGTAAATAAATTGTTTTTATGCTAAATTGTAATAATCGTAATTCCTTCTTATTATAGACAATTGAATGTTATTTATCACATTTATAGAATATTTAGTATTAATATAATTTATACTCTAGAAATTTGAGTTATTTTTACCATTTTGTTAGTTATTATAATAGGATTTAAATCAATGGATGCATACATTAAATACTTTAAGGTAGAAAACACAATTAAAACTGAAATAACTGAGACAATAAGTGAATGTTCTGATGTTTTTGAAGTCAATAATCAATACCCCAATTTAAAACTATATCATATGAATATAAGAAGCTTAAACAAAAACATAAATGAACTGGTTTTAGAACTTAATTACAAAAAAAACTTCTATGACATTATAGTGCTCACCGAAACCCACAATATAGATAATATAGGTTTATATAAAATACAAGGGTACACGCTCTTATATAATGATGGCAGAGTTAACCAAAATGATGGAGTTGTCGTATACATTAAGAACGATATAAAATATTCAAGCAATTTAAAACATTTTAATTTAACAACAGTTCTTGAATTGAATATTTATTATATGAATAAAAAAATTTATCTTCTAACTTGCTATAGATCACCATCTCTTGACCCAAAAGACTTTATTAATGACCTATATAACCATTTAAACACAATAACTTCAGAATATGATTACTTGTTATTAGTAGGTGATATTAATATAGATATTAAAAAAAAATCTGAAATTAGTCAATACTATCTAGACACATTATCTGAATTTAATTTTAAATCTGCGATTAATGAATTTACAAGAGAACAAAATACGTCACATTCATGCATTGATCATATATTTATAAATACCGAACAAAACACAGAGCTAATACTACCTATTTTAATAAGAACAAATATCACAGATCATTATAGCACAT